ATATGTGTGTGTGTGTGTGCATCATGTGTGTTTGTGTGTGTGTGTGTGTTTGTGTGTATGTGTGTGTGTGTGTGTGTGCATGTGTGTTTTTGTGTGTGTTTGTGAATTGATATATTATAAATCGTATGTGGTACGCGCGTGTGTATGTCCATGCCTGTGTTTGCACGTGAGTATATGTACACCCCTTGTTTTGTATGCTTTGACTTGGTTTATAATATCACCTGAAGCACAAGTCAAGCATTTGCAATCGTACATATACTTGTAAATATACTTGTAAAACCAACAACTCTCACCTGTTCGTTCCAGTGTGTCCACATTCTGATCCCGTCGTCAATGAAGGTGGCGACCAACAACAAACGTGCAATTGTGGGTAAGTATTTCTTTCCGCTTCGGAACATGGCCTCAGCCTGCTCCTCGGCTTTCTCTAAGCTCGAATTCATCCTTGTATGCCAGATATGCTGGTTCAAGTGTATCTGTTGTGTGACGAATACAAGACTGCAAATTCGTATGCAGTATGTATGTATGTATAAAAACGGTAGTGTGTTTATTGGAGTTCCACAGTAATCGAACAGCGAGGTTTCCGCCAAAACTCGAGTATTTTAGCGACACCACACCCTCTCAAATTCATGCAGCTTTGTGAAAATTGTTGTGACATTTCTGAATTTGTTTTCATCTCACAACTTCCAACAACAAGAGGAGAGAAGATGATGATACACTGATGTCCGTCTGATGGCCCTGATCACTGATGACTGCAGATGAGATTCTAAAGCCGTCCGCAAATCTGCGGTTATCAGCAGGACCAAAAAACCTCAAACCAGCAAGAAGACTAAAATTTAAACCTCCTCAGCAGTCCTACTACAACCAAAAAATACTGTCCTATCCTCCTTTTGGAAAGATGAGGGACCACCGTCCGCCGGGAATGTCCGCCTGTTTGTTTGTAATTTTTTTTTAGTTTTAAAAACAACTATCAAATCTTTAGACCCGAAACGAAGCCGAATTTTCAGGGAATAAACTCATATTTTCGAATTACACCTAGATTTGGTGTTTTAGGGCCAATTGTAACAAAAAATTAAAACCCTCTGCCTGAAATCCCTCTTCCAGAAACGTCCCGTTTTGAGAATATTTTCTGATACGGTACAAACAGCATCTCATACCCTAAAATGTATAGAGTTCATTTTTTTATTTATTTAATTTTTTTTAGAATTATACTATTTATTGTCATATTGCTTTTCTTCCACCATCCAACGACGGTCGAAAGTTCGAGACCTGTATGTGTGGACTGTAGGACTTTAGGGGGAGCCTGGGAGGCCAGAGAGCTCGCGGATGCTTATTCTCTTTCCAATATAGTTCCACACATTGCTGGGGAAATAGTACTACCGCCCACCCTACGTTGAAAAATCAAATCCTGAGGCTATATCATATACACTTTTGTGAATATTCTTATTTGTTTGATAGCGTACGCGTACACACCCATATCTACATTCTATCTTTCTAACTATATACCATGCAAGCTCTAATGGCATTCCGCGCAAGAGCGCCCCTAATCGCACGCACACAAGCGCGGAATGCAAGCTCAGTAGCTAAACCCATTTATGCCCCGGAGTTTTCTGCCATGTTGGGCAAAGATGCCTCAACAATGAACCAGGCGAGAGCCAAGGCCATGGCTGAGAATGCCAAGCACAACGCCGAGTCTATCCATCACGCCAGTGGTACGTAGAGGAATATTAAATGTTGTGTGGATGTTATAAATAAGGTTATATGGGTTGTATAGTGGAATGTGAAATATTCATTCAGTTTAATTCTGTATCAGTAGTATTTGAATGTTTTCTTCTGTATAATGTGGCTGTATTGGAAATGTACAGGAATTAATTAGGCGACACTGGGGTGATAAATATGCCTTGTGTACTTCGTGTATGCTATTAGTGCGGGTTGACAGTTGACAGAGCCTCTAAAGGTCATTCAAGCATCCTTTACCAATGGCTTTGCAACTGTCACCTCTGAGCGTACAACTGTTATAATATAATAATATAGCATCTTATCTGTGACATGTTCCTTTTGTTGCACTTGATAGCATACTTGTATTTATACGAACAATGCTCACCGTCGAGTATGTCATATATATTATTTCAAATATAAACTCTCATATGTATGTTGAAATATGAATGTATTTGGGGATTATATATGTATGTATACGTGTGTGTGTGTGTGTGGAATGTATGCAAGTATAGATGTGCGTGTATATATATTAATATTCATATATATATATATATATATATATATCGTGCATTGTGCATGCCAGTCTATGTGCGCGATTGAAAAGCAACGTAACGTATATAGTACCTTTGCCTATCGAATATTGTTCACATTTTCGTACATACACGAGTGTACCATTACATACTTCACAACCAGTGCTGTATAATATTCCTTGTACGCGTGTAAGGTTATACTTGGAATGTATACTTATGTACGTGTGTGTTTGTGTGTGTACGTTTACATATGTCTGCGTGAAATAGCTATCATCCGGATCTGTCCGTTTATATCATGTATTCATATTAGTTTCCAACTTCTTACATATCCCTATACACATGTGCATTTATCTGTGTGTTTGTATTTGTATTTTATGTGTACGCACGCATACGTGTGTATGAAAATTGATGTCATTTATCGTGAGATAGGGATTTTTGCGTGCTTTAGTCTAACAATATATATATATGTATATGTATCTATATATATGTGTATATGTATTGTGTACAAGTGTATGTGTATGTATGGTTGTGTAAGAACGTATAGTACCGAATTAAATGTACGCTACTGACAATTATGTATTTGTATGTTTCTATGTCCTTGATTGCTGACTATATACAAGAATGTATTTGGATGTATGGTGCTTGCATGTATACGTGTGTATGTTTTTAATGGTTGATGATCTCCATTCTTGAAATTTTTTTTATATACTTAGTATGCATCATATTGTAGCTCATCTATCTATACGCCTGTATCGCTTTAATGTATAAAGTGTCAATATGTTTGTATGTAATTATGAAGAATTATATCTATTTATATATTTAGATCAAGATTCTATATGTACGCATCAAATACTGTGTCCATCCGTTAAACTGCATGAAAAGGATTCCTTGCTATATTCCTCAGATTTGTCAACGTGCACGGGTCCTTATGTCATGATTTGCTGAGAATCAGTGTAGATTATGATTACTTCTGCTCATCAATTACAGTGTCTTGGGTGCAACTGAATGTACATTTGAGTTAATTGTATTTCCAAGCAGTTGGTTTGGGAAACACATTGTTGTATTCAATGTTGACGTCACTCTCGCTCCTGTTCGAAAGTGAAAATCTCACGATTGAACCTGAATGACGACATGTCGCATTGATGAATAAGGTTTTCCCATGATATGAAGATGACGTCAACCCTATATGAGCACTCGGCTATGCTAACTACTCTCGTGTATCATATTTTGTTGCTTGAAGCCTACGTCTAAGTACCAGACTCTTTTTCGAGAAAATTCCTCGTCGATTCATTGTTATGCACGTGAATTAGGTTATATATCAACCTATTTGTTGCAGGCTACAACATGAAGTGAGCCCTTTCCAAACTTGACTTCTCTTCTCTTCTTTTCTCTCATTATAGAAACCACTGACACATGGAAGAAGATCTCATTATTTGTTGCCATTCCCGGGGTGTTCGCAATTGCTTTCTACACCTTGTTTGTCATGGACCATCAACACTTTAAAAGGTATGTGATTTTTGTTTGACAAGCTTGTGCATCGACAAAACGTGTATTGTGTATGTACGGATGTATTTGTTTGTGATATTTCCTGGCTGTGAAATTATTCTAGCTGGGTGTGCTTTTGGTTATAGCTTCATGCGCAGAACCGTTGCAGTTTATAAGTATTCTTGGTGTGTGTAAAGGTTCCTTTTCGACTAGCATTGAGACGGTTTATACTATTCTATGATTTTACCTTTGCGATCTCAAATGCCTTTGCTGACATTGTTGTAGCAGGTGTGTGGTTTGCCAAAAGTTCGTCGTAGTACTCTTGTGCTGATGGATCACTAGTACCTTTTTTGCTTTCTATTAAATTTGTGTTTCTCTCCTTGCTACCTTCATCGCAGCGAGGATGACTTCGTTCAGTACGATCACATGAGAAAGCGCGTCAAGGCTTTCCCCTGGGGAACTGGAGATGATGCTCTATTCAAAGGACCTAACAATTACTAAGGAGTTCAAGGAGGTGCTTCATTTCAGTGTACTCCAGACTAATTGTGGTTTCATGATTATGAGTTAGGAAGTGCTATGCAGTCCTTCGTGTTCTGCACTGAGAGCCGTTGAATAGGCGGTGATGCGAATTGTTGTTAACAAGTTTAGTACGAAAAATAAAGATTATGGTCACGTACTATTCTATGTTATGGGGTATAAGTGTTTCTTTCGACAAGATAGAGAACGGCTCCGCATTGTGGCTTGTTAAGATAAAGATTATGGTCACGTACTATTTATGTTATGGGGTATATGTGTTTCTTTCGACAAGATAGAGAACGGCTCCGCATTGGCTTGTTAAGATAAAGATTCTAGGGTAGATAGCTAGAATGGCGAGCTTCATTGAATCATTCCGCAAACCACTAGCATGTTAGAAATACAGGCTATGATCTGTCCTCTATAGAATCGCTGCTACTTACAACATGCAGACTATTATTATTGGACCTCTATAAATTCGCTTTTGCCTAAACCTGCCATTTTCATTAATTCTAGAGTATTATGGTAGTATAGTGTACTCCTGTGTGCTGTGGATAGCACAGGAAGATCTGCTTCTGTTCTTGCGATATTGATTTCGAATTTGAAAAAATGTTGCTTGCGATTCTGATACCATTTTACAGTTGACTCGTGAGCAGTTCAAATCGTCGCTAGTTTTTCCTCGTAAACCCTGTATGTAGTGCAAATATTTAGTTTTTAATTATAACAAATGAAATATGGTTATGGTATATGCATGTATATTCAGGATTTCTAGGCTTGTGCGCCCCTCCAGCAGTACTTAGTCAGGCAATCGTCGCACTGTACAGATGTGTGACCAGCAAACGAAGTCAAAAGGCAACCGATACACGTGGGCAGGTCTTCAAATCCGGGATCGGCCGACATCATCGCCGGTCCATTTGCCAGGAAACCGTCAATTTCGGTCTCGGTGTAATTGAATTGGAACGTACTAGTGTTTGTAGGATACACAACTTCGTGGTTAGGCACGTATACAATAGTAGGCACTTCGGGTTCGTCGCAGCCGAAAAAGGACACCTGTTTTACAAGGCTGGTATCAGATGTGAATTCAGCTTCAGTGGGAATTTCCGGGAAAGGAACTCCGGCTTTCTGACTGTACAACTGGCTATTGAGTAGTGCGTTTCCGTTAGGATACCCGCCATTATCATTACTGTTGTCTAAAGCAAAAGCCACATCGACACCACGAGCTGGTACCAATAATGAGAACAGGGGAAGGTTACCTGATGAAGCTAGACCACCATCTCCCAGATAGAAATCGGGCAGTTCGGAGAAGTACGGTTTAGGACCTTCCATGTCAGTGATAAAGCTTGGCATTCTGGTCACAGTGAAGTTCTCAGCACCCTCGGGGGTTACGGTAAGATTCAAAATATCAGGCAACACCTGATTGATGACAGCGGTTTTAGTTCTTGATAAATCGGGAAGCGCGAAAGCTGCCGATGATGTTGCGAATGTGTATTGGAGATTATCGAACCGGGTCACGCAACCATCGTTGCTTGCCAATTCTTCGTTGTTGTAGCTTGTGCCCACAATAGAGAGCTCAATGAATGCGCTGATATTCGGAGAGTAAGAACCAGCGTGGTACGGATTCCAATCGAATACATCTCCATAATCGAAGGCGCTGTTGCCCGGTCGGAAAGATGCAGCAACTAGAATAGGAAAAGGTGCTTCAAAACTTGAAAATGGGCCCTCTGTCTGAAAGTCAGACAACAACATGTCATTGCCATAACTTGGTATTTTGTTGAGTATCTGGTACGCCATACCCTTCGCCCAAAGGTCAACAAGATTGGTATCGAATCCCGCAGCTTCCTTTGCGTTTATCTGAGTGAAAAATCTTTTGTAGTTTGCGACTGCCTCTATGTCATTCGTTCCCGGATAAAATACTGTGGTATTTATATTTATATATGTCTTAGCCCATTCATTTACCGGGGGCATCTCATTAGCAAGTAATGATGACACTAGCCAGCTACCGCCGCTAAGACCGCCCATGTAAGTGGACATTTGAAGAATGCCGCCGGTTTTGGTCTCAATGCTGGCAGGAACCTGAGCATCAAACGCAGTAAAAACTCCAGCTCCAGAAAGCATTGCGCGAAGTCCTCCACCCGAGGCGGCAAGCGCAATTCGTGGTGCACCTCCTGCTACAGCAGCAGTATCCAGATCAACTAATCCCAGATTTGTAATGTATGCCTCCCAAGCTGTGTCTGTAACATTTTTTCTACCGACCAGCCACTCTGACTCCTGTTCGAGCAGGTCTGTAATGTTCACCGTGGTGACTGCAGATTCGGCATTTGCCTCGCACTGTCCTGTTACTGGGGCGTAAGGATTAGTAGCAAGTGGGACACCTATGGTGACAGTGGCAAGTGCCAAAGTAAACAGGGTTGTCGCTGTAGTCTTCATAATGCTTAATTAGACTTCTCAGAGCTTTTTGTCGCTTGTATTTAAGTGTGGTCGACTGATCGTATTTGTAAATTATGTTCCTGCTGAATCGGTCAAACCATAAAACCCTATTCCAGAACATCCAATAGAGGCCTACGTACCCATATAATTATAAATATGCGAATAAAATAAAACACTGCTGACGTCGGTGGGAAACTAAAAGCTCAGAAGAGAGGGCGAAATGTAAACTTTTATTTTTGGGTTTTCGTACCCTTATTTGTTTTGCGAAAGCGCGCCCCGTGGTTAAACTGCAACCTCAATTTTGGTTCACGTTTGGGTCCAGATTTCCAATTTATTTTTGGTTGTTGTTGGGGGGGGGGTTCGACTGTTCGTTTTCTTTTACGTTAATTTTTAATTTTGGGTTTCGTACCCTTGTTTCTTTTAGGTAAAGCGCGCCCCTTGGTTTTTTAAAAAGTGTAACTTCGATTTTGGTCCACGTTTCGGCCCAGATTTCCACAAAAAAAAATTGGTTGTTGTTGTTGTGGGGGGGGGGGGTGAAGGGCAACCCCCAATAACCACATCTCTTCTACTACTGGTTTCACATCGTGTTTCTTGTATATGGCCATTCTATATTGATGTACAGGGTCTCAAATGGGCATAAAAAGCTTCACTTTATTCCTTATTTGGGATAACAATACTTCTGAGGGACCTAATAGCTAAAGCTTTTAGTGATAAAAAACATAAAAATTATAGTATTTTTTTTTAATTACAACACATAAATACATAAATACTATTCTTCTGTTTGTTTTTGCTTTTCACAAAGCATTTTTTTCATTATTTTTTATCAATTTTTATATTTTTATTTCTGTTTGTTATTTTCCATAGCCTTCTGAAATTCAACATACTTTTATTTATATTTATTTTTTAAAAACACATATTTATGTATGTACTCTTTAAAAATATTATGTAAATATTGTGTATTTTACACTTTTACATATTTTTGTAATTTTAAAAAGTCGGGGACTTATCGGGCAGTCGGACCCGTCCGGGGCAGCGGGGCTCTGGGGCGTCAGGAACTAGAGAGAGGAGTCAGAGCCTCAGAGGGCTAGAGAGGCAGTCAGGCCGTCACGGAGTCACCCGTGTATGTATCCTTTTATACTGTTCAGTCGGCAAAAAAACGAACATTTTATTACCCTTTTTTCAACAAACAACTCAATACAACCATAAAGGAGTTTCTTTTATTTATTTTTAGAGCATAGTAAAATAAATAAAATAAGTAAATAAATAACTATAAAAGGACAAGGCGTATATAAAAAAATATCATCGTAGCTAGCGTCAGTATGAAACTAAAAGTAAATTATATTGGAGGGGAGGTTTATAGCCTTCATCGGCATGAAAACAATAGTGTACTTTACTACATACTCACTTCTTTATTTGATTTAATAAAAAAATACTGTCGTACGGGCTATTTTCGGCTAAATATGTACACACGGACGTTGTTTTAAATAAAAAATTTGAAACGTGTATTTAGCATATATATATATAAACAGAATACAGTTGTGGCATCCAAAAAATCCTCTACATAAATCCCGACGCTTTGGCAGTTTGGCTGTCTGAGAGTACCTCGCCCTTGATCTCAAAACCAAAGGGGCTTTTCATCTTTTCCTTGTAGGTCTAAACGAGCAAAAAAAACACACATTTTGTTTCCTTATAAGGGTTTAAAAAAATGTAGAGAAATACATAGAGCTAATAAAACACGGCTGGGACGCCGCGGGGACTGAAAACGTTTAGAGGGTAGTTTTATATTCATATTTTATACATGTGTACATATATCGCTTGTGAACATAATATTTCTAATTTTGGGGAATTCAATTGGGGAACTCCGACGGGGTCTCCAAGGGGTCTACAGATAGGCAAAATTCGTAACGGACAGATCTTGTGTAACAGACAAGAAATCAGTGAGTCATCATCAGACTCGGCAGCACTACCTTTTGCAATCCACCAACGGTGATGGGACAGTCGAATATTGACCAGACCACGAGCTACTTGAGCTTCGCGCTCTGCAATGTCTATTTCAAATACAATTTTGTTGAGACCACTAAACCCCATGTAGTTCCGCAACTCTTCCATATTGCGCTCAATTGTAATTCGCTCACGAGCAATATCCCTATCGGCTTGACTTCTCTCAATACTAAATGCGAATTGACTAGCTTATTTCTTCCTCGGCGTGCACACGCAAATTTGTCTCATTCATGTTCATAATTGACTTCTCTTAAGTCCAACCATGTGCGTACTTTTGCACATTCTTTAATAAGCATGATTGTTTAAATCCACCTGTTTACAGTAGTGGTAAATTCACCTGTGTTGGTGTTGTTTTCTTGTATATGTGTCCCTCGTTGACCCATTTCTGAACATTGTTATCTGTCTGTGGTAAGTATTTATTTGTGTGAAACAACGCTCACTTATGGGTGACGAATGTTCTTGGTTTTGACTTTTTGACTCAGTATCTCCATTACTGACCCTGTTAAATTACAGTGTACGTCAGGTCGTATCATGTCGTTTAGGTCTAATGAATCTGATAGCAATTATCTGAATTCTTCTTGCTCATGTTCAGGGTCTTGTTCGAGTGGTGTAAGAAGTGATTCCCATTTGGCATCCGTTGGTAAAAGTGGAATGATTATCCCCGCTAGATATATGCCCAAGTATGGTAGTGTAAAATGTCTATATCTAAAGGTATGTATTGGTGATTTTTTGTTGGGGAGGTCGAGTATGTCAAAACAGTTTGATGTTTTTTTATGAATCCTAACTGTATGTAGCCCGATTGTGCTTTGACTGACAAATACAGTTCATTTACAACACTGCAATCCATACATGAGCGTTGTACTTCTAAATTTACAAGTACATTGTATACAGTGGCATGTCGATGTCCAATCTTTGGTATCGTGGGTTAGGAATTAAAGAATAGGGTGTGTAGGCAATATCATTTGCATTTGTTGACAACGTTTCTTCATCAGTGTGTACATTCACAGTCTACCATGTTTACTGAGAGATACAGGTCTCAGGCTAGATTTTACAGCAAGAACCCTTCTTTGCTGATTTTACAACGAGAAACCCTCGTTGCTAATTTTACAGCAAGAAACCTTCTTTGATTTATAGAAGTCATCAGAGTTAGCTCACTTCCGTAATCAAGTTGCTTAAATTACTCCTGATAGTTACGTTAATACGGAACCGACTTTCGAAAGCAGATTTTAGAAAGGTATCATGTGATCAGCGTGATATTTAGTTGCAGAGAAGTAGAAACAGGTTGAAATGGAACAACAGCCAATTCCCGAGAGCAGATTTGGTTTCTCAATCAACTCTCAGCTGCGGTTCTATTAGTCACAACCTATGCGAAAAGGCATCCTGTGATCAGAGTAAGACTTGGTTGCAGAGAAGTCGAAATAGAATAGGATCGAAGTTTTAAAGTGTTCTGCAGAATGTTTCTCATACTGACCATATGAGTTTTTACCCTGGCCACCTCAAGTGGCTGAACACTAGCACAACCATATGAGGTATAAACCCAAAGGTGAGGTCAGAAATAATTACATTTGCACTTTATCTAAAGCCTATAAAATTTTACTCTAGCATTTACCATGTTAGCTTCCGCCCAACAAGCCTAACAGATTTCTTCGTTCATCTCTTGCACCTTGTTGCTACTTGAAATAGTTAATTGGTTTACATGGATAGGTTGGGATTGTTGCGCTGCCCGAGCCGCTGCTTTCTGACGGTTGCTTTCTTCCTTCTTGTGGCACTTGCTAAACGCATGTGGTGAAGGGTCTATACCGCAGTGTGGGCCAGGTCATGTTCTTCGTAATGTTGAGTTGTTAGTACCCTGCCCTATGGGGCGTCCTCGGCCTTGTCCTACTTGTGGTCCACCCCCTCTGGGTGGACCCTCTGTGGATGTTTTGAGTTTTGGACGGTTGGCTCGCGCTGGTCTGGGATGGGTATGTTTCGCACTCGTTTGCGTTCACGGTTGCAATTGGCTTGTAGTTTTGATACTTGTCTGATAAGATCTTCGGTTAGTTCACGGAATACCTTCTCTGATATGTCAGACAATTGACCACTACTACCATCAGGTTTTATTTGGGTCTTTATTCTATCAGTTTCAGCTTGCTATCCATACATGTATGAATAGTGATTGGTATCGTGATATTTTAGAATCTGCTAATTATGGACTCTCTCTCTCAGTGTTCTTGTATTCTTTCTACGACTCAAGCAGTGTACGACTTTCTCGTACTTCAACGTTCATACGACTGTCATATAAGTCGTTGAGTAGCTTTCCTAGCAAATAATCCACTGGAGTTCGACGCAAGTTGTCAATAGTTAATATATTGTAGTTTTCCACATCTGTGCAATCTTTCCAAAGATGTTTGGAACTACGTATATTATTGATTGCTGTGTGCGACACTTCTGTTGCGTCTGTCTGTCGTAGCAGTTCTTGTACGAGTGATAGATACTGTACCAATGGCATGTTAGTGCTCGCAAACAGGCCTTTTGCTACAAATACAGACTATATTGTCACGACAGTCAGCCATGCTAGCATGCTTGTTAGTTGGCAACTTGGGAAACGCACTCATCTTGAGTCGTTGTTCATCTGTGGTTCTGAGATTTTATCCTACAAGGGATCTAATTAGTGTTAACTCACTAATAAATCCACTGATCGCAAAGCACTCATTGTAAGATTTGATCTAATAAAGGCGATACTAATGCCTTAGAATAAATAAACGCGTAGGTAAATTCTAAGTATCGTGTAAATAACAAAGTAAAT